ACATATCATTCGATAAAATGTTCTAGATGTTATTATGTGTTATAGATGATCTTTTAACTGATTTGTTTGTCACATAGCGCAAAGAGGTTTGCAGGATACTTTGTGAATTGATTTAAAGGTAATATTTTTATGTTTACAACAAGCGCTTCACGTCGTCATTTTATACTTAAGACGTTTTTCTTTAATCCGCCTTAATTTTGCACGAGACGTTAGGTCGTTGACGTTTAATAATGTCAAGACCTTTTTCTTTAATCCGCCTAGTGAGAGCTCAAACAACCCAGCTGATCACGGCTGTAAGCATCCGAACATTAATCATTGGTAATTAAAAGAGGTTTAAAAACAATTTTTTTTTCAAACAGGTTTTTAACATCATCAAAGAATTCGAACTCTATTAAAGGTAGGTCTTTGTAAATTTAAACCTGGTTTTTATAGTTATTGTTTTATTTTCCATAGGTTCGAATAGGTTTTTTGGAACTTCTTGGAGAGCTAAATAACTTAGAGGAAAGCTCTCAGTGGAAAAAAGTCAAATCTTCCATTGAGCATGATAAAAGATATCAGCTGGTGGCTAGTTCAACAAAAAGGGAGCAATGGTTCTATGATTATTTAAAAGAAATCAGTGTAAGATTTTATATTCATATCTAAAATTCAAACAAATCAATAAATTAAATATTTAAAAAATTAAAAGTATAAATAAAGTTTTCTTAGCTTCTTCTATTTTTAACTTTTTATTACAATTTTTTTTTCAATTCTAAATGCTTAAGTTAGACTTAGGCTCCATATTTAAATGATATAACGATACACTTTAATTACCGGTAATATTCCATTTTAAATTGTTTTGGTATTGTACCTATTATTATTTTTACATTGATACAATTGTTAGTCAAATAGTTTTTCAATCAAGGAGTATCAAAGTAAATCAAATTATATAAAAATACGATTTGTGATAAAATATTTACATTCTTTACATTTTTACATAATGAGATGTTAAAGTATATAAAAAGTATTATTATTTAGGCGTATGCCGTTACATAATAATTAACAAATATTTATTTGTTTTTATCTGTTTAATATAAATTTTAGACAAAGCGAACCCGTCCTGAAATAGAAAAAATCGCAATTGCAGAAGAACCCATTCCTTCAGTAGTGCAGAAATCCTCTCCTGTCCATAATGCTATTACAGAAAAAAATGATCGCATTGAAGCTAGCATACGTAAACGCGAAGCTGAAGTTCGAGCACATAAAGAAATAATTGACAAAGATAATGAAAAAGAACGAGGATTCCATCTACATGAAAAAGCTATGCAGCATTTCAAAGCTCTTCTTGCTGATATGGTATTGATTTGTGGGTGTTTTTTTTTCCTGCTGCAATGTTGGTTTGTGTTATTTTTTTGTTTTTGTTTTTTTGTTTTCATGGCTTCCATTTTGATTATATTTTAAACGTTTTCATCAAAGAGGTCTTTTGATTTTATTACCTATTGGATTGTACACTAGGTTCGTGATACACATTACTCGTGGAAAGAAACTCGCCGCTCGCTTCGTCGAGATCCGCGTTGGGCTGCACTTGATATACTGGACAAAAGTGAAAAGGAAGGTTTGTTTAACGAACACGTGTTTGGGATAAAAGAAAAGAGAAAGAAAGCTTTCAGGAAAATGTTGGATGAAGCTGACGTAATTAAGTTCATACTAAATTGTTCAAGTAACTAAGTTTTATGTTAGTCATGGTGATTAATCAAATATCTACATTTTTTATTTTTATTATTGTTATTTTAAATAGATACCGTTAGATGCTCACTGGAGGGATGTTCGAAAAAAAGTAAAGGACGATCCTAGATACGCAAAGTTTGGAACAAGTGAGCTTGTGAGTGTTTTATCGTGTTTTTTTTTTTTTACTATTATTTTTAAAAAGCACTGTCAAAAAAATGACTTTTTTATTTCAATTTAGAGGGAGGAGGAATTTGAAGCCTATCTCCGTGAAAGAGTTACAGCAGCACGCACGGACTTTAGAGAACTTCTTCGCGAAACTAAACTAATTACTTACAAGTGAATTTTACGCTTTGCTCTTTTTTGGTTAGACTAATAAATGTTTGTATGATAATTTATTTTAATAACTGAATATTAATTTTTAGATCAAAAAATTTATGCGAAGAAACCAATCATATGAGAGACATTCACGAAATACTGAAAGTAAATTTTTTATTTCTCTTTTTTAAATTCAGTATATTAATTCTGAACGATTAAAATAAAGATCATAAGTTTATTTTTGCAAAAACTTTTTAGAAAGATAAGCGATATGATAATATGGCAACTTTAGAGAAAGAACGTGAACGCTTGATTATTAGCCATATAGACGATCTCCACAAACGAGGGCCGCCACCGCCTCCAACCGCAACAAACCCGTCTGCAAGATACAAAAAAGATTGAATGGGCTATTCACACAGAAATAGTGTTTTAATCATTATTTTATGTATTATCTTCAATGGAAATATTCTAATTCTTATCATATTCTTAATTTTTATTATATTTCATCTCGATCAAACCGAACTTCTTTGCATTCATCAATCGGTACGTTTCCGAATAGTGATAAAAATAAATATACGATTTTAATCTCATAAGAAACTGAAAATTTCTTTATCAAAGTAGTTTTTAATCAGTACCTAAAGTTATCAAGTATTTTTTAATTAATATCCAAAAGTTGTTTTAAAGTTTAAGTTTTTAAGCTTTTTAAAATTACAACAATGTAAATTAGGGTTGTTCGCCGAAAAACAAAACTTGCGAAAATTTCGCATTTTTATCTACCGTAATAGAATTGTTATTACGGAAGTTGCACATGCGAAAATGCACATTCCGTAACGCGCTATACGAAAATATAAATAAATAAAATTCCGTAATAAAGCATTGCGAAAGAAAACTTGCGAAACGAATCATTTCGTAAGAATACTTACGAAATAGTTCCTTACGGAAAAAGCATTCCGGAATGTGTAGTTACGAAAAAGACGCAAAAGATTTTATGTTACGATATATTTAAGATATCAACTGTTAACAGTTTAAATAATAAATAATAAAATTATAAAAAAATGTTGTCAAATGATTCTTCAAATGTTTATACAAATATACCTAATATATATATATATATATATATATATATATATATATATATATATATATATATATATATATATATATATATATATATATATATATATACATACATACATTAACGGGATTTTACTGTATATATATGTGTATATATATATATATATATATTTATATATATATATTTATATATATATATATTCATATATATATATATATATATATATATATATATACATTAACGGGATTTTACTGTATATATATGTATATATATATATATATATATATATATATATATATATATATATATATATACTTATATATACAGTAAAATCCCGTTAAGTTGGACTCTCAATGAATAGATAAACAGTATGCCTTTCTTTTTAAAAAGTATAAAGAGGATGTGTGATAAACAATTAAATACTTTATTATAAAGAACGAGAGATCTCTCTAAAGGTAAATGATATCAGAAAGAGTAGAAGAGAAGAAATATATGTGAAACAGCGGGATGTGAACCTGGATCTACGCGGCCAAATGTCTTAACTGAATGAGCTATACGTTCATTCAACTAAGAGAATAGTAATATTTATTTAATATATAATTTGAAACTGTATAAAACAGAATTTACAGAAAGAGATACGTATGCAAATAGGATTCTATATATCAGGAAAATGATTAGTAATGTGAACCTTTAGATGCTTATAATTAATATCTGGACTCAAAAACTAGTTACTTTTAATGGAACACAATAGGCTGTAGGAGCCTCAGGGAAATTATATTCAGAAATGGTTATATTAGACTCAGAGTTAGCTAGAAATTATTACAAAGTATGTAGGACAGATGTCTAGTACAAAAAGCAAAAGATTTAAAGCAAAATGAATTATATTATTTGAAAAAATTGTTTTACGTACATTTCATCATAATTTAAGTAGAACTTAGTAAAGCAAGGGAAACGTGTTGAATTAAGCACAATGAACTCAATCTTAAAAGAATAACTAACAGAAGAGAGGTTGTCACTATTGTGAAGGCGACGAAAGATCTGTAATATAGAACATGGAGGTCAAAAAATGCTATCTTAAGTAAAAAGAGTTTGATGAACAAAAGTTACAATGGCTGCGGGATGCGAACCCGGATCTCTGCGGCGAATTATCACGTATCTAACTGATTGAACTATACAATCTTATGCTCAAATTTATATCTTATTAAAATTAAAAAACAAAATTTTCTATGATCTATACTTTGAAAAGCGTATTCAAACAGTACTCTACATACCTTTAAAATCTGCTAGAATTTTAGTAACGTGCACACTTTTAGAAATTATTGAAATAGGTATATTTTATCAGAAATATGCTTAAGCTAAAGCATATTTTTGAGCCTCTTTTTACTATTTGCTTAAGCATATTCGAACCTGTTTCAAAAATTTCATATGCTTTAAAAAAAAAACATGTATATTCCTACCCATCATTCTTATTTTTAATATACGTAATGAGTTCAAAAAACATCGTTGTATATATTTATTATGGCACATTTCGTAAGTTTATTTCCGTTAAGAATTCTTTCGTATGTTGTGATCCGAAATACTTTCGTTTCGAAAGAAATTTTATTTTTTATCAATATTTCTAAAAATAAAACCGTAAAAATTTAATAAGTTATTTTACTGAAAATAAAAATTCATTATAAACATTTTGGGATTTAAAGATGTTAATTTTTACAATTAAAATCAGTCTGGCAAACAAATTTTCTTTATAGACTTCAAAACGTCGTTTGGCAAAAATGTTTGTTTCGCAAGTGCGACTTCCGAAACCGCTACTTTCGTATGTTGCAAAATAGTTTTGTTTCGTATGTCAACTTGCGAAATGCTAAATTTCGGAAGTGGCTTTTGCGAAATGAACATCGGCGATTTTAAATGTTTTGTAACATTCGGTACGAAAAAATGTAATTCCGTGTTCTCAATCTCCTTACGAAAGAATGTTGTTTTTCCGGAATTGCACGAAATCCTCCGGTTAACAACCCTAATGTAAATCTACAAAAATTGTTAGAAACTTCTATTAACCTGAAATCCCGGCTATAGTAACTTGACTAAGAGTTAAATGGTTCTATTTATCGTAATTGTTTTTGAATTTATTGACCGGCTTGAAGACAAAAATCGGGATCTGCATCTAAGTACTACAAGTTTATACAGAAAATTGTGTTAAGGTAAATTTCTGATTTCTGTGGGCTCAGTGTTTAGCGCGGTTCAAAATAAAATCAATAATAGGTTTTGTAACAGAGAAGTGTCGAAGTAACGAAAGGTTTTTAATGTTATTCTACTAGTTATATATATATATATATATATATATATATATATATATATATATATATATATATATATATATATATATATATATATATATATATATATATATATATATATATATATATATATATATATATATATATATATATATATATATATATATATTATATATATATATATATATATATATATATATATATATATATATATATATATATATATATATAAACTAGTAAAAAATCATTCGCCTTTTTTTTTTCTTTTTACGCTGTGCTAAAAAAAGAACAGATAGGAAAATTTGCCCACAATTATCATGTGTATTTACATTTATATGAACTATATATCCCCGGTAGCTATGCCTCTCATCCATCACATTAAAATAAGAAAACTTATTACTATCTTATTCAAATGTGACTTATCCATGGCCTACTATAATTACACGGCCGGATATATTGCTTTTCGGAGCGAAAAATTAGAAGGGTAACTTTTAGACTTTCTTAAGTGTCTTTTAAAATTGTTTATTTAAATATTCATAATATGAATAATACATGTGCTGTAGTTTATTGTAAAACTGGATATAAAAAGAGAGAGAATCAAATTGATATTATTCCTGAAAAGCATCCACTTTTTGGGTTTCAGGAAAATAATCCTGACTTATTTTAACAGTGGGTAGCATTTGTCAATCGAAAGTTATGGAAGCCCAGTAAAAAATTCGGCTATCTGTGCTAAACATTATGAAGAAAAATATTTAAAAATTGGCAAAAGACTAACATTAGTTTAGGATTTAAATCCCGTTCCAACTATTTATTGCTCAACTGAAAAAATAACTATAAATTGATCAGTTTCATGTTGTTATTGATGTACATGATGGTGAAATATCATGGAAGTTACTTCATGAAGTATATGATAAAGACTTCAGTCAAATTTAAAAAAAGGTTCCAAATCATTTTATAAATCACTTCATCCAAACAAAGTGTACCACTTACTCTTGCAATATTTGATCCTTCAACTTCTGCATATATTGAAAGTTATTTTCAAGATAGGACTGATGCCTCAAGCTTTTTAAAGTTGATAAATATATGGTGGACAATAGGTAACAGAAAGCAAATATATAACAACAATTTTTGTATTGGAAATGCAGCTGTTATGGGTGACATGAAACCTTTATTTTTGAGGAAACTAGCCAAATGGATTGAGAATTGGCAATTATCTCAAGTTTCAAACTCTCAAAAGTTTATATTAAGTAAACAAACATCAGAAGCGTGAAGGACCACTTTAAGATGCACAGCTTCACTTATTGATGATTTAATTCAAGAAGGGTATCATTATTTTTTAGTATCACGCTTGCAAACTGATACATTAGAACTAAGAGTTTCAAAGTATCGTCAAATGAGTGGTGGCAGATTTTTTATTGGTTTGCGTGAGCTTGAGACATCTGAGTGCATATAAGCTTTGAAAACTTTACTTAAAGAGTCAGTCAATATCTGGGAGGAAGATGTTAGAAAAAAAGAGTTGTAATATATCTTTACTTAAACTATTTAATGATAAATTGCAAGAAATTTTACCAGATAATAAAGAACGCAGTTTAGATTCAGAATGCTTTGAAGTTGCTACAGTTATTTCTGGTTGTTGTTAAAAAGATTAATAAAAAGATCAAATGTGGTGTTTGCAAAACTTTTCTATTAGCTGAATCTGGTGAGCTACAATGTCAATATTTAAAAAAACTTTCTCGTGGTGGATTGATTTTACCAGTTATTGATCTTACACATTATATTGCCAAAGCATTTGCAATATTAGACACTGGGTACTTAGATAAAATGATTATGCTTCTTCATTCTTATGCGATGAACATCAAATTATTGGTGTAAAATTTGTAAATCGTGTTGTTGTAAATATTTATTTTAACAATGAACAGAAACACATTTTTGATGAAATTCGAAAGAACAGTGTATAGGATTTTAAATGCAGACAAAAAAAAAGATTAAAGCTGAATTAGTTAAGTTAATAATCAATTAAGTGGAACTGAATTGAAGTAGCTAATGCTAAATTATACAGCTGAACTATTATACTTTTAATGTATCATCTTCCTTTATTATTATGTATACAATATA